ACATTTAGAAAGTCTTATGTGGATAATATCACATTTTTTCCTGGAATTTTTACGAAGTGTTCTCTAAGTAATATTGGCATCCATTTCTAAGTCAAATGTATTCATCGGAGTTAAAATTAATGATACCACAAAACTGCAGCTCCAGAATCATCCTCTGGGAGCTGCTGTCAACCTGAAAGTAGAGCTTTAGCAGATAATGAGTTTTATTGAATGATTTTCCTGTATATGACTCATATCCCAAAGGCCACTAGGCACACATTCTGGGAGACTGTCTGCATTTAAACAAAGAGATTCAAAGTCTCTAAGAGCTTTGACATTGACCTTTTTTCCTTTGGGAAAACTTAAATTCACTAATGATCTGAAATTTGATGTCTTGGAAAATGGAAACACATCTACCCAGTAATGAAAAGGATTGCCAAACAGAGGAAGAGCTGGACACTGGAGTGACAAATATTTTTTCCCTTCTTGAATATTTTGTTCTGATTAGAGCTTTCTGAGCAGATTAACTTTCTGATTACTGAGGAAATGGTAAAAGAGCCTGAGGTGGTAAATCTAGGAAGAATCTGGATCGGAATGCCTGAGATTTCTCAGATCTAAAGCTGTAGGTTAATGGTGAAGGGGAATATGTTATGGTGAACACTGAAAGAAGATACTAGCCAATAACAGAATAGATAGAGAGTAGATAGGAAGGGAAAATTCACTCCAAGTTTAAGTTGGACATTTGTAAAGAGTCCTTTAAATGCTTTTCATATAAACATGCAAATTCAGAAGTAAACAACAATATGCCATATGTTAGGGATTTCAAAGGATTGTTACCTTAAAATTAGAGCTGACATATGAGAAAAATCCCTATACTAACTCCATCAGTACATGCAAATTCTGGGATTAATTCCCTACAAGACAACCACTTCAGACCATTTCTCCTTAGGTATATTTGGATGACAGTAAATATATTGGATTAGCATTCAAGAAACTTCCCAATCTGGAATAATAAAGGTCCCACTACTTGGTCCTGACTGCTGTGGATTACGTGGATGCAGTATAAAACAATACTACTTGGACCAAGATCAATCACAATGTCAAAAATTATCAGCCTACCTTAATCCAGGATCTCTACAAGATCAATCTTCAGTCCTGTGGTTATCAGCCAGGAACTGGGACCAAGAGTTCAATATGCAAATCACTTTGTGCCTCAGAAATGTGCCAGAAAACATTCAGTTTATCTTCAAGATGTAATAAATAGCTCTGAATAGCTTAAAACTGAATAGATTAATAATTTGCTATTAGTTATAACCACAGAAATTTAAAAAATAGCCCAGTACTATTAGGACAATGGGTGAAGAGAGTAGAATTTTGGAAAATCTGAATTCAAATTTTCTCCATCAGAATTTCGACCATACCCTTTGATTTTATGGATTTCATATTCATTACAGTGATGTAGATTCTAACCTTTCCATGCTTGCTTACCCCATGTGATTCTACACTAGACCACTAGAGGGTGTGTCCAACATGCAAGAGGTCTTCCTTACTTTCTCTTGACTTTCAGAGAGAACCAACCAGGAAAATGCAGGAAGTCTGTCCATTCTAATAGATGCTTTCACCTCCTTATGTGACTTGCCAATCTTCTTTTTTACTTGTAGATTTCACTTGTAGATGACATGTCTCATATCCTTCACCTTCCTAATTCTTGGGTTGAAATGTGTTGCAACCTGCTCATATCCACTTTTGCACATCTCCATTGCACTTTGAGTGATTTTCAATTCCAAGTCTTCAGAGACTATAGGGTTCTAGTACTCACAGCCCACGACACACTTGCATTTAGTGGGCACTTAATAAGTGTTCTTTTATTAAACTGAATTAAATCCTATGATTGATATGGAAATAGTAACTAAAGGAACATTGAACTTTGAAGATAGATATAGGTATAAGTATAGATATCATGGAAGTACAAGCAGAGGAAGTAGGATGTCATATAGCTAGTACACTGTAACATTCAGGAAATCCTATATGATAATGTGATTTAAATTATCTTTAAATACAATTCAGTCCTTTCCCAGAAGAACCATTACCTAGTCAGTGATCTGCCTGATAAGGGAGCAAGATTCAGGCATGAATGGAAAGATGGTTCTCAAAGAGGGCTATGTGTTCTATGGAATAGAATCCTTACCTGGGAATTACTACAAATTGCTAAAACAAGGAGCCTCAGATTGAACAGATCCCATAGTAATACATCAATATTACTGTCACAAATAAGGGAAATCTTCCCCCTCCCCAACAAACCACCATGCAACAGCAGATATTGTTGTTTAGAAAATTAACTGCTCCTTTTCTGAACCCAGATTAAATTACGTCTGGTCCAATTCCTTCATTTTACAGATGAGGAAACTGAAACAGGCTCTTATAGTTGTTTGAAACCAGATTGTTTATCTTTGCATCTCTTCCAATACCTAACGTAATTATAAGCACACAGTAATCAGTGAATGAGCAAATTCTTTCTGTAAGGGTGCAATTTGGGGCAGCTAGGAGTCAGGAGGACCTGAGTTCAAATTTAACTTCAGACACTTGACATTTACTAGCTGTGTGACCCTAGGCAAGTCACTTAGCCCTGATTGCCTCTCCAAAAAGCAAGAAAAAAAATTATAGGAGTACAATTTATCTCCAACTCTATGATCTCCCTTTGATTAATAGGTTCTTCTATCCAGGGATATAGACTGTCTCCATCTTCTGTAAAATGTCTTAGCAGACAAAGTAGCTCACTTCAGTAAAATATTGATTTTGTATAGTGGAGAGCTGAGTCAAATATTCCAGAACTCTAAGGTTAAATTTGGGCTATGAGAAATTGTTGACACTTCTGGAAACATTAACTCATATTATGTCTTTTTAGAGTAAATTTTTTTTTCTCAAAAGAAATACTGAGTAAATACATTTTAAAAACTTGTCTTTGGGACATTTAACCCCCTGTAGATACATAGACTTAGATATCAATTACCTTTACCCTAAGGTATTTCTATGGTTGCCTTTTTATTTTTTACCCTCTCTTGGTGTCTTGGGAAGCTGCAAATGCATGAAGTACTGCAACTTTGGCTTTCCTTGGGCATAAAAGTAATGCAAGAATTAGTATACTTTATATCATGTCACTAGGTAATAGACTGGGAAGATTTTATTCCCGCCTCATTGATGTTTTTACATTACAAGTATTTACAGATTACCGCCAGACAGGTCTCTTGTATCAAAATACAACAAATAAGTAAAACTAACAATACAGTAGCCTCTTTTGAAATCACATGCAGCATTTCACACTTTAACACTTTCCTATTTAAAAAAAAAATCTATTTTCTTTTCCTCCCACCCCTCACCGCAATGGAAAAGAAAGGAAAGAAAAAGAAATATAATGAATTCCTTCAATATCTGTGTGTGTGTGTGTGTGTGTGTACATGTTTTTGTGTGTGTTTCATTCTGAAGCCTAAACACACCACTTCTCTGTAATGGATATCATACTTTATCATCAGATCTATAGATAGGAGAAAAGTTCATGAACAAACAAGGAATAGCAAAGATCACAGAGGACAAAATGGATAATTTTGATTACATAAAATTAAAAAATTTTTGCGCAAACAACAAGCCTAATAAAGCAAAGATTAAAAGGCAAGCAAGAAATAGGGGGAAAATCTTTGCATTAAATATCTGTGATGAAAATCTCATTTCCAAGATATCTCAGGAATTGATTCAAATTTATGAGAAAAAGAAACATTCTCCAATTGATAAATGGGCTATGGGTATGAACAGCCAGTTTTCAAAGGAAGAAACCCAAGATATCTTTGGCTATATGAAAAAATGCTCCAGATCACTATGAATTAAAAAATTAAAAGTAAAGTAACTCTGAGATTCCATATCACATTCATCAAAGTGGCAAAGATGACAAAAAGAAAAAATAAATATTAGAGCAAAGAGTTTTCAGCAGAGAAATATTTTCTACTCTATTTTTGCTTTATCAAACTGCTAAAAAAAGAACATCTTGAAAAGTTACTTTAAAAAGAAATAAGATGTATGAAATGGCAAACAGGAATGCAAAGAAGTATGGGAAGACATATGAGGTGATATAAAGAAAAAGCACAAGAGAAAGAGAAAGATACATTTTTGCTTAAACTACGTAAAGAAAAGAAAGTCAAACAGCAGCAAGATTGAGCAAATGCAAGAGTAATATTGAGGCTACCTTGCTAACAATAATGCACATGGACTTGTTTTTCTCAGTTGTTACCTGTGCAGACTTAGGAAATTCACTCAACTTTCCTGCGCTTCAGTTTCCTCATCTGTAAATGAAGGACATGGATGAAAAGTCTTTTTAAAAAAGGTTTAGAGGGCAGCTAGGTGGCACATTGGATAGAGCACTGGCCCTGAAGTCAGGAGGACCTGAGTTCAAATCTGGCCTCAGACACCTGACACTTACCAGCCATGTGACCCTGGGCAAATCACTTAACCTCATTGCCTAACCAAAAAAAAAAAAGCAAAAACACAAGGTTTAGAATTGAAAGATTTATAATTGAAGGGATGTTAGAAGCTATTTAATCCAACCTCCTCACTTTATGACCATAAACTGAAGGCCAAGAAAGGTTGAAAACCTTGGCCAAGGTCACACAGGTAAGGAGCAGAACTAAGACATTCCAACTCACATCTTCTAACTCCCCACCAGTAGGCTGTGCAGTGTATCAGGAGGCTGCCCCTTGGGAGTGCTTTCTAAGTGACAATCTTCTAGAAAGGAAAAGTGACAAATTCATTTAAAAATTTGTCAGATATCTGGACTTTGGGCCAAAAAAATAAATAAATAAAGCCTCACATTCTGAGTAGATAGGATTTTTTTTTATTTTTATCAACCTTTTTGAGAACAACATAATTGCTATGACTTGAAACAATGAAAATATTATTATTTTGATTCATCTGTGATTCTCACAGAGAATGATAGAATGTGAAAAGAAGACCTAGGAAATGATTAGGAAGGAAAATAGTGTATAGAGAAAACATATTTCATCTTCTCAAAAATCCTGGAGTAGTTGCTTGGTACTCTGGGTGTCGCTGTTCACCAACCTGGGAGAGAAATTAAAGGAGAGTCAGCCTTTTCATTTCTTCTACACAAAGAGCCTTCAGATGAAATACACAAAGATTCAGCATATGAGCACTCTGAATTTGACTGTGGATACTTCACCAGACATAGACGGTCCAAGAACTGAATTCAGACACACGTAGTGAGAAAAGAAAAATGGATAATTCGGCAGACAGACAGCAATGACTGCTGAGCACAGGCAGTGGGCTTGCAGAGAATCATTCTTGCTTTGCTTTCTCTTGGGAACTCTGTGGAAGGATGGGGCTGCCGAGATCCACTACTCGGTACCCGAGGAGATGAAGAAGGGCTCTTTCGTGGGCGACATCGCCAAAGATCTGGGGGTAGAGCCTCAGGAACTGTCAGAGCTCGGTGCTCGAATCGTCTCCAGAGGTAAGAAGCAGCATTTCTCTCTGAACCTAAGAAGCCATAGCTTAGTGACCTTGGACAGAATAGAGAGGGAGGAGCTTTGTGCTCAGAGATCCCAGTGTCTGCTGATTTTCAATATTCTGACTGAGGATAAGTCAAAACTTTACCCTATAGAAGTAGAAATATTAGACATCAATGACAACGCTCCTCGCTTTGGGTCAGAGGACTTGGATTTCAAAATTAATGAAAAAAATCACTCCAGGAACTGGATACCCTCTGCCTTCCGCACAGGACCCGGATGTGGGTGTGAATTCAGTCCAGAGCTACCAGCTGAGATCAAACCATCACTTCTTTCTGCACCTGCAGAGAGGAACAGGTGAGGCCAAGTACCCGGAACTGGTGCTGGAGCAGGCGCTGGACCGGGAGAAGGAGCCTGTTCACCACCTTACCTTCACAGCCTCGGATGGGGGAGATCGGGTCCGCTCTGGCACCGTACACATTCGTGTGACTGTACTTGATTTCAGTGACAAAGCGCCAGTATTTACGCAACCCACGTACAGCGTGAGCGTTCCTGAAAGTGTGCCTGCGGGAACATGGATGCTCACGGTGAATGCCACTGACTCAGATGAGAGAGTCAATGGGGAAGTGACCTATTCTTTTAGGAACACCGAAAGTAAAGCAGTCCAAACCTTCCACTTGGACTCTCATAGAGAGGAAATAAGGAATGAAATATCCTTGAATTTTGACGAATTAGAATTTTATGAAATGGAAATTCAAGCACAAGATGGAGCTGGTTTAATGGCCAATGCTAAGGTCTTGATCACAGTTCTGGACGTAAATGACAATGCCCCAGAAGTGACAATCACTTCGTTCATCGGTTCAGTTCCAGAAAATTCTCTCCAAGAGACTGTGATTTCCCTTCTTCATGTGCATGCCCCAGATTCTGGAGAGAATGGTTGTGTCAAGTGTTCTATTTGGGAGAATCTGCCCTTTAAATTAGAAAAAAAAACAGTTGATAACTATTACAGTTTGCAGACAGACAGGATTTTGGACAGGGAGCATGTATCTGTGTACAACTTCACAGTGACAGTGATAGACAGAGGGAGTCTACCACTATCGACTTATACTCACCTTTCACTGAATATAGCTGACATCAATGACAATTCGCCCACTTTCAGTCAGTCATTTTACTTTGCCTAAATAGAAGAGAATAATCCTAAAGGAGTCTCTGTTTATTCAGTTACTGCCTCAGATCCCAACCTGGAGGTTAATGCTCAAGTCACTTACTCCATTGCAGAAGACACTTTCCAGGAGGCATCTCTCTCTTCTTATGTCTCCATTAATTCTGATACAGGCATACTTTATGCTCTGCGCTACTTTGACTATGAACAGTTTAAGGAGCTACAGCTGAGACTGACAACCAGGGACTCTGGGGACCATCATTTCAGCACCATCTCCCTGACTCTGTTCATCCTGGATCAGAATGACAATGCTCCAGAAATCCTGTACCCCGCCTTTCCCACGGATGGCTCCAGTGGAGTGGAGCTGGCCCCATGCTCTGCAGAGCCAGGCTACCTGGTGACCAAGGTAGTGGCAGTGGATGCAGACTGGCCAGAATGCCTGACTGTCCTACCACCTGCTCAAGGCCACAGAGCCTGGGCTCTTCTCCATGGGTCTGTATTCAGGGGAGATCAGGACTGTTTGGACATTCCTCGACAAAGATGCCTTCAAGCAGAATCTCATAGTGGCAGTAACAGATAATGGAGAGCCCCCTCTCTCTGCCACCATCAGTGTCACTGTGGCAGTGGCTGATAACATCCCTGAGATCCTCTCAGATCTCAGCAGCCAGGCAGCTCCTGGAATTCAAGAGGACTCTAATATCACACTTTACTTGGTCATAGAAATAGCTGCAGTATCTTGTCTCTTTTTTGCCTTCATCATTGTCTTACTGATAGTCAAGCTCCATCAGTGGAGGAGATCACAGTTTTTAGGGTCATCTGATACCTATTTCTTGGGTGTGCCTGCATCCCAATTTGTGGACACTAATGGAGTTCAAGCTTTTCTCCAAACACATTCACATGAAGTTGCTCTTACTACTGACTCTTGGAAAAGCCAGTTGATCTTCCCCCAGCCCAACTACGCAGACACACTTCTAAGTCAGCAAAACTACAAGAAATCAACATTATGTCCCCAGTCTTTATTTGAAGCTAAAGATGAACAAACATTTTTTTCAGGTAAAAAAAATTCTGTAGAATTGAATTACAAGTTATTTTGAAATTCATGACTACATTTGTCTCTGTACTGTTTGCTAGACTTTAGTAGCATGTTATGGTTATTCTGCCAACAATAATTTTCTCTAATGAGGATCTGAATCTAGTAAAAATGCTAATAAGTAAAGTCATAAGACGTAGAACTGGAAAATATCTTGGAAGTTTTCCAAAGTCTTATAATTTTTTTTTGAGGTATGGGAACTGATAGATAGTTTCAGTGGCTTGGCCAAGGTCGCTCAAGATACTATACTAACTTCCCTAAGAGGATTGAACCAATACTATAGTACATGGGACATTGATTTAGGATAAGATTTAATATCTATTACTACAAAAAGAAATAGTCAGGCATCCCTTTTACTGAATATGTGAATCATATTCCAACTGTGACTTATCTTCAGATCACAAAATCTAGAAATATAGTGCTGACAAAAATTACCTGAGTTGTGTTGACTTCTTCATTTAGAAAAGTTTAAATGAGGTCATTGTTTGGTTCTATTACACTTTCTTAAATTCTTGCTGCAGTTTGATCTCTGTAGTTTCAGATTACCACAAGAAAGGAAGTAGATTTTCACTATCTGATTTTTAAAAATTTCTTCTGTTGTTATTCTTTCTTATTTTTATTAGTGATACATTCTTCTCTTTTGTTTTATTGGACCAGACTTGGGATTTCATTAGTATGGGACACTCCAAATGAGGGAAATCCATATATTGATGAAGATCTTCACTTACTTTGAATCTGTAATTTTGCCCAAGGCACAGAGAGATTAAATGAACCTGAGGTCACATGGAGAGCTTGTTGGAGCCAGGATTGAATCAAATTCTCCTTTAGTTCTATACAAACTTTATCCACTAGGTCACACTCCCTTACGAATTCTCATATTGATTTATAAATGATGACTCTATTAACCATGAAACAAAGAGATGTGCATTTCTCAAATTCCTGTTCTGCAACTGACATGCCAGTGAATCACAGGGAATCACTATATTTTAACACCATCATCATTGTCTCCTGGAGGCAATGACAAAGTTGTTATCTCTTTTACCAGGAATTGAGTGTTTAAAATAATACTGTATTGACATCTTGTAATGACTTACACTCTCCAATGGGGTCTTCATATAATCCATGTATCAATGGTTGAAAGATTAGTCCAGCTAAATTATAAGACACTAATCATTAGAGTGGCAGTAAAGTAATTAAAAATGTTGATCACAAAGATCACCAATGAAGTGGTAGGATGGTTTGGTAATATGTTAGAGGAGAGGTCGACTATACCTTGAACCACACAGATACTTAAAGTACTGGTATGTTCTCTCACATTCAGATGTTTTGTTGCCCAGTATTTCCTTGGATGTCTTTCTCATTTCTAAAACAATACCCTTTCAATTCATCAGTTTTACACTGAAGAACTTAGCAAAGGCTTAGAGAGCCATAAATATGCAATTTAAAGGACTTGGGTTTATATAGCCTAAGACATTCATTTTTTATGAATGAAAACAGATCCAGAGAAGTTAGGAGACTGGCCAAAGGACACATATATTGTAAGCAGACAATCCTCCAATCAAACCCAAGATCTCTGACACCAGATCCATTTTTCTTTCTACTTTACCACAAGGCTCCTAGACTTTCTCTCACATATCTTATCATGCCTATTGCAGTAGAGTATAACCACTTACTAATCTAATATGGATAGAGTTATACCTTTGTACCATTCTGTTTGGTGAAACAAAATATAGGATAGTAAAGAGATTCAGTTGTGCTGTCTTGTACTTCAAGTTAATTAATAACAAGATTGTGAAATTTTATTCACAACTGACATGGGGATTACTTCTTACGAAGTTAAAGTTAATGCCATGCCAAAGTATTTCTTGAAGCTCTGAAAGAAAAGACAGATATGTAAAGATATGGATATATTGATTTAGGTAAAATATTAATGTGCATTTACAAATGCAAATATAAACTATAGATATTAAGATTGAGTGTAAAAATCTTGTCGTTATTATGAGATGAGAGATAAAAATTACAACAAAGAGACTTGATAGCAAAGTTACACAAAATATTTTCTGTGGTAGAGAGAAGAGTAAATTTAAAGTTAGATTACCTAATAGGTCAAGAAGGTAATAGTCACAATTAGCAAAATAAAATTTATAAAGATTGACAGAAACATAAATAAAGTCTTGTTGTTTTTGGAATAAATGATCTCCTTAAGGTCCCTCCAAATCCCAAAGAAAAATAGCTTTCTTTAAAACAACATCTCACAAAGTATACAAGCCAATATACCATTAGTGTCTCAGAACGAGTGTAATAATTGATGTAGACTCTGGGCGCCGCTGTTCACCAATAGGGAAGAGAAACACCAGGAGAGAGCCAGTCGAATCCTTCCAAGTCTTGAGAGACACAGGGCTCTGGAAAATCAGACACACAAGAACCAGTATGCACACAAATTCAGCCCTCCAACCCTGCAAACTCTGGGTTTAGATTCCGGAAACCGACTACCAAGCAAATCTACTGCCCTTCAGGGAACCCAAGAACTAACCCAGATTCGTCTGCAGAATAAGGAGAATGTTTCTAAACGAAACAATGGTCGCCGAGCAAAACCACAGAGGCTGCATGCGGCGACTCCTGCTTTGTTTTCTCCTGGGCACGCTGTGGGAAATCAGCGCTGCCCAAATCCGCTACTCGATTCCTGAGGAGATGGAAAAGGGAGCTTTTGTGAGCGACATCGCCAAGGACTTGGGGCTGGAACTAAGGGAATTGTCAGAGCGAGGGGCTCGCATCGTTTCCAAAGGTAAGAAGCAGCATTTCGCTCTCAATGTCAGAACCGGTAGCTTAGTCATCGCTGACAGAATAGACAGAGAAGAAATCTGCGCCCAGAGTGCCCAGTGCCTGCTGTACTCTAATGTTCTCGTTGAGGATAAACTGAAAATCTATTCAGTGGATGTGGAAATAACCGACATCAATGATAATGCTCCTCACTTTTTAGCAGAGGACCTAGAACTAAAAATCAGTGAATTCACAGCTCTAGGAACCCAGCTTCTCCTGGAAAGTGCATATGACCCAGATATGGGAGTGAATTCTCTCCAGGGTTATGAGCTGAGCCCCAACCATCACTTTTCTCTGAGAGTGCAAAGCACAGACAATGGGGTGAAGTATCCAGAGCTGGTGCTGGAGCAGGCCCTGGACCGGGAGAAGGAACCAGATCTCCATATTGTACTCACAGCATGGGATGGAGGAGAACCAGTCCGTTCTGGCACTGCTAGAATCCGAGTGATTGTCTTGGATGCCAATGATAATGCCCCAGTGTTTACTCAGTCCATGTATACTGTCAGTGTTCCTGAGAATGTACCCCAGGGGACAGTGCTGCTCACAGTGAATGCCACTGATGCAGATGAAGGAATCAATTCTCAGGTAAGATACTTTCAAGTGAAAATGCCTGGAAAGATGTCACAAATATTCCAACTGAATTCTGTGACTGGAGAATTATCAACCTTACAAAATCTGGATTATGAAGCTGCAGAATTCTACATGATGGAAGCAGAAGCAAAGGATGGCCTTGGCCTCAAGAGCAGAGCTAAAATTCATGTCACAGTACTAGACGTGAATGACAATGCCCCAGAAGTGACTATCACCTCTGTCACCAACTCAATCCCTGAAAATGCTCCCCTTGGGACTGTAATTGCTCTGTTCCATGTGCATGATCAAGACTCTGGTGAAAATGGCCGAATCCTATGTTCCATTCCGGGTGATCTGCCCTTTAAATTAGAAAAGAAGGTGGACAACTACCATTCACTGGTGACTGACAGGGCTCTGGACAGGGAGCAGGTGTCTGAGTACAACATCACTGTGAGAGCAGAAGACTTTGGGAGCCCAGCTCTGTCCTCAGACACTCATATCTTCTTGCATGTGGCAGACATCAATGACAACCCACCCACTTTCAGTCAGGCTGCCTATTCTGCCTACATCTGGGAGAATAACCCCAGAGGAGCTTCCATCTACTCCTTGAGTGCCCGTGATCCAGACAGTGAGCAGAATGCCTTAGTCACCTACTCCATCATGGACAGCACCCTGCCCTCAGAGGCACCACCACTGTCACCCATAGTGTCCATCAACTCAGAGACTGGTGTCCTCTATGCTCTGTGCTCCTTTGACTATGAACAGTTCCAGGAATTTCAGCTAAGGGTGATAGCCAGAGACTCTGGGGACCCTCCCCTCAGCACCAATGTGTCCCTGACTCTGTTCATCCTGGATCAGAATGACAATGCCCCAGAAATCCTGTACCCAGCCTTCCCCACGGATGGCTCCAGTGGAGTGGAGCTGGCCCCACGCTCGGCAGAGCCAGGCTACCTGGTGACCAAGGTGGTGGCAGTGGATGCAGACTCTGGCCAGAATGCCTGGCTGTCCTACCGCCTGCTCAAGGCCACAGAGCCTGGACTCTTCTCCGTGGGTCTGCACTCAGGGGAGATCAGGACTGTCCGGACATTCCTGGACAAAGATGCCCTCAAACAGAATCTGATAGTGGCAGTGACAGATAATGGGGAGCCCCCTCTCTCTGCCACCATCAGTGTCACTGTGGCAGTGGCTGACAGCATCCCCGAGATCCTCTCAGATCTCAGCATCCAGACTTTCCCTGATCCCCAAGATGACTCTCTCCTCACGTTTTACTTGGTCATAGCAGTGGCTGTGGTTTCCTGCTTGTTCTTTGCCTTCATCGTCCTTCTGCTGGCTCTCAGACTGAGAAGATGGTGGATGCTGCAAGTTGTGCAGTCTGCAGGTGACCATGTGGGGGGAGTCTCCTCCTCCCAGTTTTTGGGAATAGATGGAGTGAGAGCTTTCCTTCAGACCTATTCCCATGAGGTTTCTCTCACCACGGATTCTCGGAAGAGTCAGTTGATCTTTCCTCAGCCCAACTATGCAGACACTGTGATAAGTCAGCAGAGCTGTGAGCAAAAGGAGTCTCCATTACCTACTCAGTCTTTACTTCAAGGAAAAGATGAAGAAGCATTTTTC